AGTCGCCACATGTTCCAACCCCCAACCTGGAGGGCCAGGAGACTGTGTTCGTCAGACCTCTAACCATTGACCAACCTGGTATGAGAGACTGTGAGTGTCGCGGGACACTCTCCAGTATAGCTCAATGGATCGCTGAGGTGCGCAAACCGTCACACCACGGTAAGGTCCAGTCTCTTCGTGACGGAGTAAGACGCCCAACGGGCCCTAAAAGGCCTCCGGTGAGTGAAACAGTCGGCGACAACAACCTATCTGTAAAAAATCATTGGGTTGAAAAATTTGAAGGACAATTCAACTGGTCACATGCATTAGCTAAGCTGGATCCCCGGCTAAACGCAGTTCTGGGCGACATCGAAAGTTATGTACTGATTTTTACCTCCTAAGTTTCATTGTTACGGACGGAGTATCGATTCTGATTCAGTGCAAGAACAATACTGAATAGCGTAGAATGAATAGCGCTTTATTTGTTTAAGAATGGACGTACATAAGCTGAAAGTAAGGGCAAAAGAATGGTTAATATGAAACGGTAGTGTGAACACAAAGGGTAGTCATGACAGTCACCTGGGCCGTCGGATCGTGTGTAGAGAAGGGTAACTTGGACACAGGTAATGAATGATTGTAAAAATCTACTCATCACCGTCATCATCGTTGTCAGCTGTAGTAACTGCGTACTCGTCTTACAGTGGTTGTAGCTGCCGCAGTTTCATTCACGGACGATTTGGCGGAGGGGGGATGGTAGCAAGATTGAATGGCGTAGAATGAATAGCGCTTCATTTGTCTAGGAATGGAGGTACGTAAGCTGAAAATGAAGGCGAAAGCATGGTTAATATGAAACGACAATGCGAACACAAAAGATAGTCATGACATTCATCGAACTGCCGGTCCTGACGAATTCCCACGTGCTCTGTTTAACATTGGTGAAATTCTCAGTCGATGTTTGTCTAACTTCTTTAACTCTATCAGGGCGAAACTGACTGTCCCAACGAACTGAACTGGGGGCATTTTCAGAAAGGCTGTTCTCTGTGGTTGTGGCGATCACAGAGGAATTATCTCGACTCCTGTAGGTCAAGAAGGATACAGTAATCCTGGTGGATGATATGACTGCCCAAGTTGGAGAGTTGAGTTTAGATTTGGATTTGATGCTGAGCGTACGGATAGTAGGCAACGACTGCACCAGTTGTGGGCTGATCATAATCTGTTCCTGGTCAGTACGAACTTCCAGTACAAACGCCATGTCGAGCTACCTAGATGCCACCAACCGCAAGATAGTCATGAACTTAAGTAGATCACGTGGCTATTAATCATCGATAGAGAGCATCAATTAAAGACTCGTCTTTTATTAGTTAAGCAACTTGACTCTGACCATGCCATTGTGCGGGACCGGTTATCACTTC